TCATAAAATGATTTGGGAAGAATTCCCTCTTTTTGTATTGTTTGGAATAGTTTCAGAAGAAATGGTACCAGCTCCTCTTTGTATGTCTGGTAGAATTCAGCTGTGAACCCATCTGGACCTGGGCTTTTTTTGGGTGGTAAGCTCTTAATTGCCGCCTCAACTTCAGACCTTGTTATGGGTCTGTTTAGGGTTTCGGCTTCTTCCTGGTTTAGGCTTGGCAGGAGGCAAGTGTCCAGGAATTTATCCATTTCTTCCAGGTTTATTAGTTTGTGTGCATAGAGTTGTTTGTAATAATCTCTGATGATGGTTTGAATTTCTGTGGAATCTGTGGTGATATCCCCTTTATCGTTTTTTATTGCATCAATTTGGTTATTCTCTCTTTTCTTTTTTATTAATCTGGCTAGTGGTCTGTCTATTTTGTTGATCTTTTCAAAAAACCAGCTCCTGGATTTATTGATTTTTTGAAGGGTTTTTTGTGTCTCTATCTCCTTCAGTTCTGCTCTGATCTTAGCTATTTCTTGTCTTCTGCTAGACTTTGAGTTTTTTTGATCTTGCTCCTCTAGCTCTTTCAGTTTTGACGATAGGGTGTCAATTTTTGATCTCTCCTTGTTTCTCATGTGGGCACTTATTGCTATATATTTTCCTCTAGATACTGCTTTAAATGTGTCCCAGAGATTCTGGTATGTTGTGTCTTCATTCTCGTTGGTTTCGAAGAACATCTTTATTTCTGCCTTCATTTCATTGTTTATCCAGTCAACATTCAAGAGCAAGTTGTTCAGTTTCCATGAAGCTGTGAGGTTCTGAGTTAGTTTTTGAATTCTGAGTTCTAACTTGATTGCATTGTGGTCTGAGAGACTGTTTGTTACGATTTCCGTTCTTTTGCATTTGCTGAGGAGTGATTTACTCCCAATTATGTGGTCAATTTTAGAGTAGGTGTGATGTGGTGCTGAGAAGAATGTATATTCTGTGGCTTTGGGGTGGAGAGTTCTGTAAATGTCTGTTAGGTTTGCTTGGTCCAGGTCTGAGTTCAAGTCCTGGATTTCCTTGTTAATTTTCTGTCTGGTTGATCTGTCTAATGTTGACAATGGGGTGTTAAAGTCTCCCACTATTATTGTGTGGGAGTCTAAGTCCCTTTGTAAGTCATTAAGAACTTGCCTTATGTATCTGGGTGCTCCTGTATTGGGTGCATATATATTTAGGATCGTTAGCTCTTCTTGTTGCATTGATCCTTTTACCATTATGTAATGTCCCTCTTTGTCTCTTATGATCTTTGTTGCTTTAAAGTCTAATTTATCAGAGATGAGAATTGCAACTCCTGCTTTTTTTTTGCTCTCCATTTGCTTGGTAAATCTTCCTCCATCCCTTTATTTTGAGCCTTTGTGTATCCTTGCATGTGAGATGGGTTTCCTGGATACAGCACACCGATGGGTTTTGTCTTTTTATCCAATTTGCCAGTCTGTGTCTTTTGATTGGGGCATTTAGTCCATTTACATTTAGGGTTAATATTGTTATGTGTGAATTTGATACTGCCATTTTGGTGCTAGCTGGCTGTTTTGCCCTTTAGTTGAGCTGGTACTTGTTGTTCCTTTATATGTGTAGAGCCTCTTTCAGGAGCTCTTGTAGAGCTGGCCTGGTGGTGACGAAGTCTCTGAGTGCTTGCATGTTCCCAAAGGATTTTATTTTTCCTTCACTTATGAAGCTTAGTTTGGCTGGATAGGAGATTCTGGGTTGAAAGTTCTTTTCTTTAAGGATGTTGAATATTGGCCCCCATTCTCTTCTGGCTTGTAGGGTTTCTGCTCAGAGATCTGCTGTGAGTCTGATGGGCTTCCCTTTGTGGGTAACCCGACCTTTCTCTCTGGCTGCCCTTAGTATTTTCTCCTTCATTTCAACCCTGGTGAATCTGACGATTATGTGCCTTGGGGTTGCTCTTCTTGACGAATATCTTTGTGGTGTTCTCTGTATCTCCTGGACTTGAATGTTTGCCTGCCTTGCTAGGTTGGGGAAGTTTTCCTGGATAATATCCTGCAGAGTATTTTCCAGCTTGGATTCATTCTCTTCGTCGCATTCGGGTACGCCTATCAAACGTAGATTAGGTCTTTTCACATAGTCCCACATTTCTTGGAGACTTTGTTCGTTCCTTTTTACCCTTTTTTCTCCAGTCTTGCCTTCCCGTTTTATTTCATTGAGTTGATCTTCGACCTCTGATATCCTTTCTTCTGCTTGGTCAAGTCGGCTGTTGATACTTGTGCATGCTTCACGAAGTTCTTGTGTTGCAGTTTTCAGCTCCATCAATTCACTTATATTCCTTTCTATTTTGTCCATTCTTGTTAGCATTTCATCAAATCTTTTTTCAAGGTTCTTAGTTTCTTTGCATTTGGTTAGAACATGTTCTTTAAGTTCACAGAAGTTTCTTACTACCCACCTTCTGAATTCTGATTCTGTCATTTCATCACACTCATTCTCCATCCAACCTTGTTCCCTTGCTGGCGAGGAGTTGTGATCCCTTTTAGGAGGAGAGGTGTTCTGGTTTCGGGTGTTTTCATCCTTTTTGCGCCGGTTTCTTCCCATCCTTAAGGATTTATCCACCTGTCGACTTTGTAGTTGCTGGCTTTCAGATTGGGTCTCAAATCTTTCAGATTGACGTTCTGTTTGTTGATGATGAGGTTATTTCTGTTTCTTGGTTTTCCTTCTGACAGTCTGGCCCCTCTGCTGTAGGTCTGCTGAGGTTCACTCCAGGCCCTGCTTGCCTGGGGTTCACCTGCAGCAGCTGTTGAACAGCAAGGGTTGTTACCAGTTTTCTTCTTCTTCTTCTATCTTTGTCCCAGAAGGATACCCGCCTAGTGTCAATCTGATCTCTCCTCTATGAGGTGTCTTTTTGGATATATAGGGGTCAGGGAGCTGCTTGAGGAGACGGTCTTTTCTTTATAGGAGCTCAAATGGTGAGCTGCGAGCTCTGTTGTTGTTCATTCAGAGCTGCTGGGCAGGTACTTTTAGGTCTGCTGCAGCAGAAATCATAAACTGCTTTTTGTTCCCAGGTGCTCTGTCCCAGGGATTTAGGGCTTTATTTATGAGTTTCCGTTATGCTGCTGCCTTCTTTTTTTTTCTTTTTTTCCTTCAGACCTGCCCAGCCCAGCAAGGAGGCAGCCTAGTCACTGTCGGCCTATAGCAGCTTTGCTGAGCTGCTGTGGGCTGCGCCCTGCTGCCGAGTGAACTTCCCTGCAGTCCTGTTTATATGGGTGTAGTTAGAACTGCTTTGGCGATGGTGGCCCGCCTCTGTTGTGGCGGAGTCTCTGCTATGGCGTGTTGCCTTGGCAACGGCGGGCTGCCTCAGCAATGGCGGATTGCCTTGGCAACGGCGGGCTCCCTGGTAATGGCGGACGCCCTTACCCCACAGAGCTGGACTGTCCCGGGTTCAGCTGCGCTCGCTGTGAAATTCTCAATCCAGAGTTTCTGGTTGCTGTTCTTTTATGGGGGTGGGGCCAGCCGAGCCTGATCGCCTGGCTCCCTGCCTCAGAGCCTTTTTTAAGTTGGTGTTCCAGTCGCCTGTTGAAGAGGCGCCGGGGTCTGTTTGTTTTCCCCTGCGGCCACTCACTGCGCTGGCTTAAACAGCGGCACTGAGGTTTGTGGCGCTTTTTTTTCTTTTTTTTTTTGCCCTGGAATCTACTGTCCTGGTTCTCTGCTCAGTCCCCTTTTTGAACCAGCATATGGGCGACTTCCCGTGGCTCCAATCGCCAGCCAAAAGGGCCCCCGGACCGGTGTATTTTGTACGGAGGACCGCGGCTCCGGGGCGCCGACAAAGCAGCCGCGCGGGGCAGAGCAGCGGCACCGGCCGGCACAGCCGCGTTGGCCACAACAGCCGCGCTGGCGAGCGTGGAGCACCTCTGCCCGGGAATTTCCTAGTCTGTGGGCAATAAAAACGCGGCGTCCACTCACCCTCTGCGCTTTCACTGGGAGCTGCAATCCTGAGCTGTTCCTAAACGGCCATCTTGGATCTCCTCTCACTGATTATTTTGAATATTGTCTTTTGTGAATTGCCTTCAAGTCCCATACTCACTTTTCTACCAAGTTTCTTTTTAAAAAAATACGATTTGTAGAAACTGTTTTCACAGCGGGACCTCTATTCTCTTATCTCTGTGATATCTGTTGCTAATGGTCTTTGTACCTGTGATGCCTCCTTTTCTTTTGCTTTGGGTGGTCTCCCTCCCCAGTATTCTGTGGTCCTCTCCTCAACTGACATATTCTCACTCTGCGTTTTCCCTTGTCATCCTCTCTGTGAAGGCCACTACACACTGATGACTAACTCTTTATCATATTCAGTGACATCTCAGTGATGGATCTTATAATCTTGATTCCTATTGGGGAATCTCTCTCTACCTCTCTGCTCCACTGGCTTCTCAAATCCATATGTCCAAAATTAGACTCTTTGTTTGTCTTTTCCTCCCACTTGAACATGCCACTATTTCTTCATTCTCCATCTCTGTTCATGCCTTTGTTTATCATCTTAGCTACCAATCTAGGCATCTTCATCAACCTCTTTTTCTTAGCTCTCATCAAGTCACTCTCTAAGTTATATTGATTTTATTTCTTCAGTTTTTCCCTCATCCCTAGTTCAGGTCCTTATCATCTCTCTCCTGGACCACTTCAGCAGCTTCCTGAGTAGGCTCCCTGCCTTCAATCTTATCTACTACAAATGTATGGTTTACACAGTTGCCAAAGTGATCTTCAAAAATGTGATCCCAACAATGTCAGTTCTCTTCTTACAATCTTGCAGCAGCACTCCACTGCCTGAGTGAACTCTAAGCTCTCTAAATGGCCCTCTGCAATCTGGGCACTGCTACCTCACCAGCACTTGAGATAGTCTTAGCCAAGAGTCTTTCCTTTTAGTAAAATCAAACTGCTTGTACTACTCAGAGAGAGGTAGTGCTTCTTAACTGTTGCTCATGTTTGTTCTCCCTTGATTGATACCTATCGTCTTTGAAGATCTAACTCACTTTCATCTCCAGGGGACTGGATGTTCTAACTCTGTGTATCCATAATAACTGATGTATATTTCTGCTATTGCATGTACCACATTGTATTTAAGCCATCTGGTTGGGATGGCATTGCCTACTAGATGATATTCCTTAAGGACAGGGATTGTGCCTTGTCTCTGTAGTTTACTCTGTGACATATGATCAGGTATGGAATACTTGTTTGCTTAGGTGATCTGTAGGAAGCCAAAATAATATCATTTAATTTTGTGGGTAAATGATATTTAACATAGTAGATAAATGCAGTGAGCCCATGTGTGTGAATATGGTTGTCAGTGAGATTTGGCATGAGGCATTTCCACCAGGGCCACTTGCAGACCTGTTTTTGAATGGTACCCCAGGCAAAAATGCCGAATGTTCCTAGGTAGGAATTAAAACTTCTTATCAAGGATGTCGACTCATTGGTTTTGAGAACATGGAAAAATAAAGGCAACGATAACAATGAAATAAAACTGATTTTAGAAGTTCAAAAGACCTGATTTCTCTCCTGGCCTTGGAATAATTCTTCACATAACCTTGGGAAGTTGTCACCATCCTTCTGGTCATAAAAGTGCCTGAGTAAGTTGAAATGTCTCCAAAAGCAATCATGTTTAATTACTGCTCACCAACTGGACAGCTATGTAATAATGAGTATGAAAAAAAGGAAGTCATTACAATCTTATGTGGAGTCATATAACCTTATTATCAACCAAGCCAGTGGAGCCTTAATTTGTAAATGGATCCCCAGTCCTGATGTAAAATACAATAAAAGAATTTACAATCTTTGCTTCTGGGTTGGGTCCTTATGCAGCTGGGAAGCATCCTCCATTTCTACAAGGAGCATAATGAATTCTGAGAAGATTTCCTGAGAGGAAAGAAACCTGTTAGTGGGGCATTGAGTCTGTGTGTTTGTATGTGTGTGTGTGTGTGTGTGTGTGTGTGTGTGTGTGTGTGTGTGTGTGAGAGAGAGAGAGAGAAAGAGAGAGAGAGAGAGAGAACGCGCAAGAGAGCAAGAGATGGACGTCATGTTAAGAAGAATTTATTGAATGCTAGAGAACATGGAAAAGCTATAATTACTGTTCTTGCTGAAGCCTCCCCAAAGTCTCTCTTGGGACACAGTGGGACTAATTTGAGACCAGTTGAGTTAGTGAATCATCCCTGTGCTGGTCAGAGTGAATCATCCCTGTGCTGGTCAAAGCTTCTTTGGCCTTTCTTTGAGTCATGGTCCATTCCTGAAATGGTTCTTCATCTTGTACTTTGAAAAAATCAGCTTTTTGAGCTGAACTTTCTTGTTCCAAGATGGACACTTTCTGTTTCTATATTTGTCTGATCTTCAATGAATGTATTCATTCTTGAGTTTCAGCTGATTCTTTCATCAAGAAACATCACAAGTTACCTCTATTAGTCTGTTCTTGCATTGCTATAAAGAAATACCCAAGACTGGGTAATTTATAAAGAAAAGAGGTTTAATTGGCTCACAGTTCCACAGCCTGTACAGGAAGCATGGTGCTGGCATCTGCTCAGCTTCTGGGGAGGCCTCAGGATACTTACAATCATGGCAGAAGGCAAAGGGGGGGCCAGCACATCCTACATGGCAGGAACAGGAGCAAGAGAGACAGAGGGGAGGTTCTGCACATTTTTAAACAACTAGATCTCATGAGAACATGCTCACTATCACGAGAACAGCACCAAGAGGATGGTGCTAAACCATGCGTGAGAAATCCACCCCCGTGATGAAGTCACCTCCCACCTGGCCCACCTCCAACACCGGGGATTACAATTTGACATGAGATTAGGATGGGGACACAGATCCAAACTGTGTCAATGGGTAATTAACCTTTCTGGCTTTTCAAAAATAATATGAAAAATAGAACTATGTCCTTCTTCTTGTCAGGGAGGAAATGAAGGTTAAAAAATGAACTCCACCATTAAATAAATGCACCATTGACCACCTTCTGCCCTTTTCCTGTTAGAGCCCAGCACAGACTGAAAGGCCATTCCACAGTGTATTTCAGATCAGTTCTGTGTTGTGGCTAGTATGTAATATGACTGACTTTCCTTCACTGAGAGATAGATTGTCTTTAATATGCGACTATAATTATTTGCTGTTCTCTTTATATATTCAGGCTGTCTTCATAAGCCACCTGCATGTGGATTTGAAAACCAGTGGTCTAGATGAAATATGACTTTCAATTATGCCACAGTCAGGGAAGCTGAAATAAGAAAGCCGCTCTGGGGGAAGTCAAGTTTATCTTATTGGAGTGAATTGGGCATGTAGAATAAAATCCAACATTCACTCAGCAGACAGACCCACTGACCCTATTGTTCATCCCCCTTCAATTTATTGTTGTGTTTCCCAGCTGCCCACAGAGCTTCCCCTGCAATATTGTGGACAACCAGGCAAATGAAAATGCCAATCGTCTCCCATCCCTGTCTTGCTGTATTAGGCGTGTGCTCAGCTCTGAAAGATTTCTTTGGGGAACTGTCTTGCCTTCCCCTAAGAACATCCTGGGGAAGGTTTGTCTCACCTCTTGTTTCCAAGTGGGAGGGTTGAGAATAATAGCTCTTGTCACTTCCCTTTGCCTCGTTATGGGGAATATTTAGTGCTGCAGCCTGGGTGTGGGGGCAATATCTTGGATGTGATAATGTTGCTCCCTGCATCAGTGAACATGGTATTGATTGTAAGCTGTCAACCTTTCTTCATGCTTTGCAGGGTCCCAGAAGGCTAACTACTGCAGGGAGGGTAATGCATCAGGCAGGGACACATGTGCTCTATTAACTAACACTGCAATCTAAGCTTGATCGCTTGATCCTAACACATCTTGGCTCACTGGCTCTCAATTTTTTCTTTTTAACTCCCTGATTCCTCATAGCAGTCCTGTGATGCTATTTGGATCTCCATATACCAGGTTCTCCTTCATTCAAATTCCCATTGGCATGCTGCTCAACTTGTAAGCTTCCTGTGGGCAAGTACTGTGCCTGACTTCCTTACATGTTTATTTGTTCATTCATTCAACAAGAGTTTTGAGTACCTACTATGAGCCAGACAATGTTCTGTGATCTGGGGTTACAGGAGTGGCCTAAACAATGGGGCAGTCCTCATGGAACTAAGGGTGGTTGAGAAAGAGTCTCTGAGGAGGTGACATTTGAGCTGAGTTTATCAGTATATCCCCCTGTGACTGGACTATAAGTATTTGCTAAGTTATGGAAACCATAGCTCCTCAATTGAATGCTTCATAGCCCGGCTGTTGGTGAAGCTTCTGATGTGTGAACCTCACTAAGTCCATGCATTATTATTTTTCAGAGCAAGCATTAGTAAAATCACACAGCTATCTACCTTATCATCTACCTTATTATGTCTCCTTATTTCTCTTGGTCTGCCTTCCTGCTTTTTACTAATGAGCCACACTGGAGTGTTGAGAATTCCACACACACACATACACACACCCACACACACCCCATATGCTGTTTTGCCTGCACTGTTCTATCCCGATGTCTGGAATATGCTTTTCCTTTCTCTTCCCCTAGATAACTCACTCACTTTATCTTTCAGATTTCACCTTGGGAATCACCTCCTCTGGGAAACTTCTGGTCTGGGTGAGGTGGTACTCTTTTGTGTCCTCCTGGCACCTAGACACATTCATCACAGTGCATATGTTTTACAGGATTAGCAGAACTGTAGCAAGAAATGTGCACTGAATGCATATTCGTGGGCCAGGCACCCTTCTAAGAGCTTTGTGTCTATTAAATCATTCAATCTTCACAGCAATTTTATGAGATAGATGTCATTTTTATCCTTATCCATTCAATAAGAAAATTGAGGCACAGAGAAGTTGTCATTTTTCTAGGTTGCTCAGCTTTTAAGTGATGGAGCTCAGATTTTATCACAGGCAGGCAGGCAGGCAGGCTCGGTATCCTGGGCTCTTGACATTCCACTGCTACCATTGCAAGTGAGTTTGTCTGCACCTCCCACTATCTGTGAGCTGTGTGAAGATGGAACTGTCACTTCTGCTTCCACAGACCACCCTGGCACAGGCTTGGTAGGCGGTACATGAATAATCATTAACCATTTACTAAATGAATGAATGAATGTATGAAATTCACCCAACTGAGCAATCATTTAGAGTTCCAAAATGGTGCTTTTCCTTTTACCAGTGAGGCAGCACCCCTTCCCTTCTACTCCAGCTTCTTAGGTCTTCCATGATTCTATGACTCCCACAAAAATGTTATTACTCTCGCTGGAAGAGAGTGCATCCCTAGCCAACCAGAGCAAGAATCCTAGCACTCATGGCCCATTCCTACAATTTTCAGGTTTCTGCCGAAGATGAGTTCTGAAGAAGTGTACTCTCCACTGTCTCAAACCAAATGCAGCAGCCAAGATGATTGGCGTGGCACCTGAGAGGGCTTGAGATGGGCAAGCAAGGGAGGGCTTCAGTGGGTGCTGTTTTCCAGAAAAAGCAGGTTGACTTTTCAGGGAATGGGTAGCAGATGCGGGAAGGCTGGGGGTGGACTGGGATCTGTCTTGGGAGTGGCTAAGCCTCTGCTTCTGGCCTGACGGTGATCATTGCTTTGATTGCAGCTGAGGCAGGGCTCAGCAGAGATGGCAGATCACCATGGTTCTGCCACCAGCAGTTTAACCAATGGGGCATGGAATATCTAAGTTGGGAGATAGTTAATCAGTCATAATAAGGTCAGGGTCAGGAGTTGGAGACCTGTGAGCCACTTGACTTCACGCTCTGCTTTGATGACAGACCAAATTTTTATTCTTGGTCAGCTGTCAGGAAATATTTAGTCACAGAGAAATTGCGTGTTTGTGAGTACTCACGCTAGGGAAAATAATCAAGCCAAGGTATCTCTGCATTACTAATCACTGTGATGGAAGAAGTATAGGATCTGGAACAGGAGAGATCTAGATAAAACTTCTGACTATGTCATTTAACCCTTCTGAGTCTGTTTCTCCCTATAAAAATGAGACATCTACCTACCAAGTGATTACAATGATTTAAAACAGTGCCTCTCCCAATGCCTGTCATTACAATAATTGCCCAGGAAATACTGGTTTCCTTTTAGTCTTTCCACCCATTTTACATTTAAATAAAGTGCTTAAAAATAAGGCTTAATAAATATTTGTTATTGGATGAACAAAAGGAAAAAGGGGCAGGCTAGTTCTAGTACGTTGAAAATGTGTTTCTAATGGAAGGAGAGAAACATTGGCTTTCTGTTCCCATACCATATGGATTTTGTTTCATTTTCTGGTATATGTTGGTCTACCTATTGGAAATTCTGTATCATGCTTTGTTGAGCAAATTGAGTTAAAATTCTGCTTAGATGACACTTATTCTGAGAGCCTTTTCTCATCAGTCATTGATTAACCATTTCTTCCTCTGTATGATTTCTGCCCTTTGTACATAACTCATTGTAAATATGTTTACAATATGCACTTTCTCCTATGTGAGTGTCATCTCTTGGTGGGCAGGGACCAGTGGCTTAAGCATCTCAGTGACTCCAGCCCCTTGCCTAAAGCCTGGCTTCCTGACACATCCCAGGCAACCAATGAAGTTTTCATTCATTGAGCTTATGGGTCATTACTGGGATTTGTTTTCTAATCAGTAACTTCCATCTACATGCATACACACATACACACACACAAACGCACACATGCACACACATACATATACCTAAATATGATGGGGATAGTGGATAAGAACTTTATCTAACACTGCCTGGCTTTGTCACTTGTGAACTGTGTAAATTTGTTTGTCATTTGTCTTTGTTTCTATATCTATAAAATGAGAACAGTAGTATCTGCATCTGGAGTTTTAGGGGTAGTCAATACGTGTGAAATTTGTAGAACAAAGCCTGGCTCATAATAAGTGCTCAATAAATGTTGGCAACTATTGTATATTAGAGCCATATTTTAACAGCTCTGGCTTTAGAGTCTGATACCTTGAGTTGGAGTCCTGGTTCCGTCTCTCTCTGGCTTTGTGCCCTTGGCTAGGTTGACAACTTGAGTCTATTTTCTTATTTGCAAAATGGAAATACTAATGCCATCATGGGGTTTGGGGGAGGGGATAATGAGGTGAGGCATGAAAGCAGTAGTATATTACCCATCAGTATTGTTGCTATTATTATTTTATGGTGCTTTAAACTTATCAAAGCAGTTATAAGTAAATGGATTTCTTGTCCTCTTAATAATTCTCTGAGCTAGGATAGATGTTTTTCTGGACATTTTACAGGTGATGATGCTGACATAGGGACTGAGCGGGTAGCCTAAGTTCCTTGGTTACAAGGAGCAGGTTTCCTTGGTTAACAGGACCCACGTTTCCTGTCTCTAGTCCCATCCTCTTTCTGTGGACAGGTTGGCTGCTCCTATGGAAAGCAGTCCCTGAGCGCTGACTTAGAAGTACAGGGGAGGAGGTGAATGAAGGCATGATGGACACACAGTGAATCAGGTTGCCGTGTGAATGTTTCCCAGTGGTGTGTCTAGATTTTTCCCCATCCAAAGACTAACCAGGCCTGACTCTGTTTCACTTCCAAGATCAGGTGCATTCAGGGTGATATGTCCAAAGACTGTGTTAGGGGATTTGTTTTGGAAGGCAGGTGGCATTACTGAAAACACACTAGCCTCATCCACACATTCATCATGGAAGAGGGAAAATTAGTAAGGGTTCCATCATTCAGGCTGTGGACTATAGTGTCATCCCTAAATCCTGATTATGCGGCTTACCAGGGCTTTCTTGAGCCCTGCAGGCAGCTAGCAAAAGGACTGAAAAAGAAATGAGATCTGGGGTGGTGGGGAAGTGAAGCAACTGCTCTGTAGGCTTGAAGGAAGGGAAATCATGGCTTCCCAAGTCCCTAGTAATTGGGCATTTGAGGAGGGCGTACCTTTTATTATAATGGACCCTAGAATGTTCAGAGGAAGTTTAATGAAGATAGCAGACTTATTTTATTGGGCCACTGAGCTAGCAGAATTTTAGCTTCATCTTTGTTCCACCATACAATTGTTCCATGTTGTCTAATACATGCTGATTTGGTTGAATTAATTGCAAGACCAATTAATTAGAGGTTTAAAGGTGCTTTTTTTCAATAAAAGAGTAAAGGCAGGAACCATACTTTAAGGAGTTAAGAAGCAACTTGATTCCCAGTGCCCATCTGCCTATGCATATCCCACTACTTGATGCTGGCTAGTGTCTTCCTTTTTTTGTTTTTTCTAACTAATCTTCCTCCTCCTGACAGAAAAGCATGAATGTCTACAAAAGTTTAGCTTTTTGCATGACTTGTTTTTAATGTCAGGAACTGAATGTTGCAAAAGGGTGATTTTATTAAAAGCCAAAGATGGCGTGGCTCCCATTTTCCTTCATTCAACTGATACCCTCCAGTTGTAATCTGATGGCTCTTACCAAGCAGCAGGCCTCGCAGTGTAAAGTAGTACAGGACCCTTAGAATAGAACCAATTGTTGCAAGGTAGCAAATCAGCCTTCAAGCAGTTTTTAGTGTCAGCTGGAAAACAGACTGACTGCTATGTGCCACTATCTAAGAAATATTGCTAGTACTGGGGCTGAGAGATCACACATAGAAAATACCTAGTTCAGCACCTGGTAAAGAACAGGTAATTTGTGAAACATGGTGGTGGTTTTTCCCTGAGGCCTAATCTTTAGGGCTTTCCCCTCCTGTTCCTGTCCAGGAGTCTTGGGTGCTTGCTCTAATGTGTGCTTTGCAGGGGATGGAGGAGAGGATGGCTGCTCTCTGCTCTTTCTTCTCTGGCAAACTCATCCTACTCTGGATCTCAGTTTGTACATCCAGTGTAGGGGCTTTTATTTGGAGTTCACAGATGAATTGCAAAGGGGCCTATGAACTCCTTAAACCATGACCAAAATTATTCGTGTGTGTGTTCTGGGTAACTCTGCTGACTCTAATATGTGAAGAACCATCAAGACTCTTTAATGCCCCCAAAAGTGTAAATGTTCTGTCATATCAGTTACCCAGGGTCCCAAAGTTTGATACACCTGCTCCTGGTGGTTCACAAAATGATTTCAAGTGGTATTTGGGTGCATGTTTGTTATATTGATAATTACGTGATTAATGTTAGGGAAAAAACCTAGTATATCAAGAGTTGAAATTTCATGCATGTTATTTCTTTGGAGGAGGCTAATTCTTGCTTTTAAGAAAAGGTGGCTTAAAAAAATATTACATGGGTAATAGTACAAATGTGGGTTGATTCTTAAGTTTGCGATACAATGATTGGTCCCAACCCCCCACCTAGTACAGACAGAAGAGCTGAGTCCAGAGAAGTGGAGAAAAGGCCATAAAGGAAGTTGGTGGTAAATGTAGGCCAATAACCCAGTGGCCTTCTGCAATATCATAATTCTCTATGAGTGGCAGAAGTTTCTGACTCTTTCATGTCTCCTCCAAGAACACTCCCAGTCAGGCCAGAAATCTTGCCCAGGGAGTTTCCACCTTAGCCATTTTACTTGAGATGCCTAAGGAGAGGCTTTCCTTGCAGGAACAATGAGAAACATTGAGAAAGTCTCATTTTTGTTCCCATGCTCCCTCCATTCTGAGATGTACTGTTTCCCATTTTAATGTTCCTGAAATTGTGCTGCATCTTACAAAACTTTTTACCTAAGGTGACAGTTATTTCCTTGCCGAAAAGCTATTAGTCAATGGATAGCAGCTTAGAATTGAGACAATATGATTCTTTCACTATTTTCTTTCTCCTCCAAAGCAAATTACACTTGAAAGTCAGGACTTCTAACAAATCTATGAACTGAAAGAATTTCTCTTTCAATGAAAAACTCTCATCTCAAACCATTCACCCTGCACTAAATGGAAGTTAGGAGAAATGAGTCATCAAGACAGATACAGAGATATTAACCCAGACCCAGATTTCTGGACTTCACCCATCTACCCTCCCTAAGTTTGTGAATCCTTTGCATGTATTTAGTGCCTTTCCCAGAGGTGTGCCACGTAGAACATTCTGGAAATGGCTTTCTAGAAAGTTATAAATCTCGATCCTCAACTGGGGAAGAGGATGAACCATCTTCCACAGCTTCAAGTGGACTCCATTCACTCTGATGTCACAGCTGCTGGATTTCCCCACAGTTCGTTTCTGTAGAAGAGAGCATTCTGGTCTGTTTTCCCAGATGGCGAGCTTGGGGTGAGGTAGAAGTGTCTGATGGGACTTTACAAATCAGCATTTTTATTGGTCAATTTTGTTCTAGGTACAATGGAGGTTGATGGATTGTTACTTTTGGTTACCAAAACCAGGAGGAGAGGAGGGGGCTGCTTAGGAGAAACACCCAAAAAGAACAGACCAGCCTTTCTCAGGGACTCAGGGGTGGTGCCACTGCTTCCAACTTACTGCTTCATTTAGAACACCAGATAATAAGCGACCAGGACTCGGCCTTTAGAAGTCAATGGAATAAATAAGCTGGAAAAGGTTGAAGAGAAAAAAGCCAAGGAACATGTAGGTAGAGGATTACATGGAGCCATTTAAGAGCACAAAAAACAAGAGTAACAAGGCAGCAGATGGAATTTGGCCCCGCCTGGCCCTGCCAAGCTCACTCTGGGAAGCACTGTGTCGAAAGTGCTCTCTTTCTGTCCTCTGAAGCATTCAAGTTTCCTAGCCAAATTCTCAGGCTGTTTCTATGGAGCTTACAAAAAAAAGAGCATAGCAGGGTTGATGTGCCCTTTCCTTGTCATTCTGCATCCTCTTTTCAGCTTCATGTAGTAAATCCCTGGCTTAAATGAAATTGTTTAAAGAAGGAAAATGGAAAATGGAAAAAAAAATGGTGGCATGGCAGGAGATAATGACTAGTTCTGTTTTTTTTCACAAAACAAGAAGAATTTGTCTAAGAGTAAATGGTGTTTATTTTTTGTTGATTTTTTCAATCGAATGGAAATGCTTAATTAAAAAAAAACTTATCTCTTTTCTCCTTAAATACTACAGACAACCTCATTTTATCGCAGCAGACACCTAGGAACAAAACACTGGACCCACCAGAGAAAACGGGGCAATAAAAGCATCAGAAGTTCAAGTCAACTATGGAAGAATTACTGTTAGCTGGCAGCTTTCAATTCTAAACAGAAGTGTCCCAAACCTATTGGATTTGACAAAAGTTTCTTAGAACTGGGGAGCTGGGAAAGTTGGACTCCTTTGAATTCTATTCCAATCATTTCCTGCATAGGGAAATTAAAGTCAATGCGTCAAATGAAGACTCAAAGAAACATTTAAAAACTTGTTTGACTAGTATTCAGTATGTGAGATTATTAAGTAATAACTTGTCCACCTAGTTAACCTTGTCCTGGAATATATATAGGTTATTTGTAGCCGCCACTGCTATAATATTTTCTGAAGGATGCCAAGCTGTATGCAAGATCTTTTTGCTAAAGTCCAGGCTGTCGACACTGATCTCGTCTTTTCTCCGCTTGCCCCCAACACACACTTTTCGGGGTTTGAGGATAGCCCGGGGCTTGCTGTTTTCCCTTGAAGCCTCAAGGGTCACATCACGCTTGGTGTTTCTGTCGAACATCCTGAAGAAGTTGTTGTAGGAGCCCGTCATGATGACACTGCAAGGCAGAGAGGAGAGGGAGTGACCGCGTGTTACGGAGAAAGGCAATGACCTGTCTTCATTGTGTCTTTCTGGAGCAAATGATACCCTGCTATAGCCAGCTTATGACACCACAGACTTTACTAAAACTAAAAACCACAAAAATAAGGACAGGCTCTGTAGTGTGATTGTTGGCCTTTTTAAAAAAATTACTGAATGCAGTAAGCTTTTTGGCTAGGCTTGAAAAGGAGGGACGGTGAGAACTCTCCTTGTAATTTACTTTTGCTCCATGGATTCCTTTTGATTCTTTGGCTCAGTAAAGGTATCCGGTGTTTTTGATGATCCCAGTCCTACCTACCTCCCATCAGGAATGTGACACTAGAATGAGGTTTGTTGAAGTAGACACACTTTTGAAAACAATAAGCAGTTGTATGTGTTTAAGGCTTGGCCACCATTAGGGGGTTCCTAGGCCATCTGACCTCTAAGGGTTTATGGCATCAGCCCAGTGGCGGGAGAGATGCTGGTGGCACCGTGCACGAACCCAGGGTGTGTCCTCTCCCCTGCTGAGAACTAGTGCAGAATTTGACCTTTTTAGAAAACTTATCTATAAAACAGATGTCATCATGGTCTTACCTGGGAAGCAAGTAAGCAAATTCAAATTTTAAAAGCATTTGGGATGAGGAAATAAAAAATTTTATAGTAGATGGACAGATGGTTTCCACATTTTTACAAGACTTATCCCCTCTTAAGTATAGCTGTAACCAATCAGGAGGGAAGTGAACACCCAATGTCTTCCAGAAGCAAGGTACTGAATAATGGTGACATTTCAGACACGGTGACAAGCTGAGGTGGGGGAAGAGAGATTCCTTGGGCGAGGATGTCTGCAAATGCCATCACACAGTGGTTCCCTAGGAGGGGCTGGCTCCCACTCACGTTTGGGTGGAGCTCTGACTGGCTTCTAAAGTTGAGAGAGCACGAACTCCCTTTCTCAAATGATTTGGGATGTGTAGAGAGGTGAAGGAAAAAGCTGACAAGATTGGGCCACAGCAAGGGGTATGTGTTTTTGGGCACGTCCTCAGCTGTACCAGGTAAATTAGGCAAAGTTTAGATTTTGTTACTCTGGCTCATCAAACTCATGTTGTGAACTGTGTCTGTGTACTGAAGTGGACTGTTAATACCTTGTCAGGCAGGGTGCTGAGGGCTTTGCCTCCATGATCTCATTTCAACTTCTATTATCCCATAAAACTGTTTTACAGAGAATTAAGTGCTCAGTGTCACATTGCTAGTAGGTGGTAAAGTCCACCTTCAAACCTACATATGCTTGACTCTGGGGCATAAGTATTCAGGCAGTTGGCTTCACTGCTTCCTATGCTTTGCCATTTGCTTCCCCACCATGACCCGACTTACTTTTAAACAAGGAAGAGATAGTCTTTTTTTTTTTTTTTTTAAATAATAACAAACCTTATCTGAAAGAGAAATAAAATCTCCCAGTTGTGATGCTATAGAAAGAAGGTTGATGTTAGGATTCAAACTCAAAACTTCTTACTTTTGTCTTTACTACTTATGACTTTATGAGGTTGGGAAGATTATCTTACTAAGCCTCAATTTCCTTAACTATAAAATGAGAATGATGAAAATAATCTTGTTAGACTGTGGCTGGGATTAAATAAAATGATGTGTATGAAGGTGTTTGGCATATAGTGGGTGCCTAATAAGTGTAGTTTTGAATCAAGACCAAGATAGATAGAGGAAAAATTTGAGCAATAGCAACAGATATGTACATAATAATATATGAATAAATATCTATATAAACAAATAAAGAATAAAATGATAGGGCTGGCTTCTTTTCCCCATGGGGGATTTTGTTCATATGCCACAGTTACTTTGCTCTCTGTCCTATACCAACTGGTCAGTGTGCCTTGGGTCCTTTGCCATGTGGGGACTCTTTCCAAGCCTGCTAAGGAGGGGTTTAATTTTGGATCAGTGGCAAAGAAAGCCAAGAAACAGAGCAAGAGAGAGAGAGAGAGACAGACAGACAGACAGTTCATATTCACTAAAGGCTCAAATGTCTGAATGTCTTGCCATAATAGAATTTCTATGCTTTGAAACACTATTATTGGTACCACCTTCATCAGGGAACGAAATCAGCCCCTGGTTGCTTGCATTTAGTTCTCACGAAAGTCAGAGAATCATTTGTATTTGTCAAACTAAAAATGAACTATTGGGAGGTATTATGAAGTACTGTTCAAATCAAAGGCCTTAAAATAGTAATAAATCACTTTGAGGGACTGTGATAAATGAGGTTGACTAGATTTCAGTTAATGAACCACCAGGGCCGTTGGCCAGGTCTCCACTAGCAGCTTCAAGGGATAATTTTTGATCTGGAAAGCCCACTTGGAAGTAATCTGAACTGTTCAGGCTGGAATTTGCTGGTGGATAAGTGATCTTAATTTAGGCATGTTGACCTAGCACTGGAAGTGTCTTGTGTGCAAAAGATAGGACTTTCTTATTAACATTAAGGTGTTATCTGTGCCACTTCAGAGACAGGATTCAAGGGTCTTACCACGTCCTTCCCTTCTTTCCAGGCATGACTTCAAGGGTCACCAGGGGCCCCCATTATGCATTTCAGCCAGGCTTTGGGGCCCAATTTTGACCTCCCTTTGGCTGTACTCAGGATAAATTGCCCAACGCTGCCTCAAGGCAACTTTTGGAAGGTTCCTCAGCCACAGAGCCTTTCTTACCTGTCTGACCCATTCCAAACACACTCAAATTTATCAAAAATGCAGTCATTTTCATAGAGGGAACACAGCTTGCTGCGGAGGTAGTCATGAACCTGGAGAGGAAACATATCGAGAAGGTGAGGTATTACAGTATTTTAAACGTTATTATTTCTGCAAATACCTCCTCTTCTGATGTGAGCTGTTAAATCTTTCGTTGTACATGTGCCTTGAATCAGATGGCCCTGGATGTGAACCTAAGCTTGGCCGTTTCTAGCTGTGGGATATTAGGATGGATTCCTGAGCTTCTCATGTGGCTGATACGGATTAATCAAGCTCGCTTGTATAGACAGTGGCATCCAATAGGACTCAATAAGGGGTAGATTCTCATTTTCTAAGCTGATTTGCTCATGGGCATTAGAGGTCACCATTCATCCATTCTTTTCAACAAATTCCTCAATACCTACTATGCACTTCAGATACAGCAGTTAGCCAAATATTCTTGTGGTGCTTTCATCCCAGTGTCATGGGAGAGACTATATAACCAAGTAAACAAATAAGATGTTTAGATGGTGATAAAATCATAGAACAAAAATGTAAGGAAATAGAGGCTGGGAGATCTTGGGGGGGTATATTATTTTATACAGGGCTAGCAGTCAAGGCTTCACTAGATGAGGTAGCATTGGGGATGAATGAGCCACAGTGATGTCTTGATTTGGGGTGAGGGGGAGGCTTTCCAAGCACAGGAAACAGCAAACACAAAGGCCTATAGGTAGGAGTCCTGGAGAGAGTGTGGTGGGAGAGTCCTGAGCAAGCAGCTGGGGGAGCAAATGATCAGTTTACATAGGCCCTTTATCCTGAGGAAGAAGAGACCTCACAGAGAGGATTACTGATCATCTGCTGTGTTGCAGGGAATCCTAAGAGTGCAAAGACAAAGGCAGGGAGACCAGTTATAACCTGAGTGATAGATGTTGGCTTGGATCCGGGCGTGGGCAGTGATGGGGGCTGGTCAGAGTCTCCTTTTGTTTAGAGAAAGAACAGATAGGACTTGGGTCAACTCTGAGGTGTGGAGAGAAAAACAGGAGTCAAAAATAAATCCCTGATCTTTCTCCTGAGAAAGTGGAAGGAAGGGGGTGCCATGTTCACTTCTGGGCACAATGATTTAGAGATGTGTCTACACATGGAGCTGTCAAGTAGACTCTGAGGTCAAAGGTGTCGTCCTGCAGTATGTGGCGATTCGTGCCTGATTTCTCTTTTCCAATGAAAGCTGCAGCATGGTTATCAATTGAGAGTGATCAGGAGAGAGGAATGGCGGGGAAACTGTCAGATTTCTGGAAGGCACCATGGGACACTTGACTTTGGACATGAATGTCAAATAAGGCTGATCAAGCATAGTTGAATATTTTTCTCCAGTTACATTCAGCAACTCAGACGTAAGTGCCAAATAGACAAATAAGCTTCAGAGAGTAGTAGCCTGGGTTCACTGTTTCGAAGGTCATCCTTCCTGAACCCACTAGCACAGAGTGGCAATAATAACGCATACCCAATATGCTGGCTTGTCATTACTGGCCAGGTGCTTTATCTATCAAAACCTCATTTCATCTCTAAAGCCATCTTATGATGTAAGTGCTTTCATTCTCTTTACTTTAATGGAGCATGAAGTACAGAGATATGATATCATTTGTGCAAGATCACACAGAAAAGAAAATGATAGAAGGGGAAGGAACCGAGCCCTGGGATCAGGCTCTGGAGCACACACTCTGAGCTGCACTAGCAACCTGGCTCCAGCTTGCTCTGGTGGGTCCTAGTCCTTGACAGGAACTGTGATAATGAACTCTAGTGAGGCTGAGAGATGACATAGAACTGAGTAAAAGCAGAGGGAGGCTACCAAGGGTATTGGTATTTAACTTTAACAGTGATGATTCAATCTCCTTTTTTCTGCAGCCATGGCTCCTTCTCTTCCTTTGATCTCAACAGTTCCGTTGGATGCTGAGCTTGAGACCTAGTTGTGTGCTTAAGTCTAGGGCAAAGGAATGAGGTCAGGCTCATCCTATGTTCCATGAGATGTTTTGGGTATTTGAAAAGCTCTGACTTATTTGGACAGTGGAAGTTATTTCTCATTCTGCAAATTCATTTCCTCCCACCTTTACTCTCTCACTTCCAAACAGTTCCAGGCCTTGTCAGGGTAACAGCTTCAGTGCTTTGGTGACAAGGGAATTCCCCTACAGCAGTGCTGTTGGCATTGTCAGATGCATTTGGGGACTGTGAGGGTGAGGCTGTATTCTGCTTGTACAGAGGCATCTTTGCTATAAACTGACTCACTGATCTTCCCTAGGGGGCACAGCAGTGAAGGCTTATAAACTGGGCAGTGGGGAGCTTTTTAAGATCTAGTTCCATATGTCCTTTTTGTGATGAACCTTTCCTCACCTGTCACCATTCATTTTTGGGATTTTGTCTTATAGAAACACTGCAGGTGAATATCAAGCATCAACACATGTGTGCTTTGGAAGTGTATGCCTATTAGCAGGAATGACATTGTAGAGAACTCTGTAAATAATTCTTGAAAGATAGAAGTTGGGACGGACTCAAGGGAAAACCTAGTCTGAAGCGTTACTTCTCCTCATCTGCACATAAGGTCTGCGTAGTTCCTGCCTGCCTCCAATTGACAGCATTTAAAGAAAAAGAACATCTGTGATGAAGGTATGCTGTATTTATCTTTTATTGCATAGAAAAAAAATCTTCTTAGGCAAATCAGAGGGACCTTTCCCTACCAGAGGAGCAAATAAGGTAAGATGTATACATGAGCAACATCTAGAGCGTGGAGCAAGAGAGATCTTAAAACTCATCCTATTTGATGTTCTTTTTTCATCTTCCTAATATGACTTTTCTATGATACTATTAGCTTGTGCATGGGCTTTTTGACACTAGACTGAGTGGTTCTCATATTTACTTTGGGAGTCCAGTGTCCTATAATTAGTGGACTGCTATGAGGCCAACCAAGAGCCAACTCTATTGGTCTGTTCGTATAGTTCAAGTGTTGACAAACTTTTTCTCCAAAGGGCCGGATAGTAAATATTTTAAGCTCTGTGGGCCATATGGTCTCTACAACAACTACTCAGCTCTGCCATTGCAGCACAGAAGCAGCCATGGAAGATAAGTAAGTGATTGTATATGGCCGTGACAATAAAACTAACCTACAAAGACAAATAGGGGGCTGGTTTGGAACACAACCAGTTGCAGTCTGCCAACCCCTGTTCTATAGGAAAACTTGAAAATAGCTAATCATACTTAAGTCTGCAGCCTTTTATTCATGGAAACATGATTGAGATCTGTGAATGCATGTATGAAAACGTGAAATAGTAGCATTGCCTGTATTAACTGATCACTAAATTCTTCCCCACTGGACCTCACAACCAATCATGCTGTTCTGGAGGCTCACCGAATCAGAGTTTATTGACCATCTTTAAGCTATTTCATGTAAAAGCTAGCTAACTGTATTCTAAAACTAGCTTTGTCCTAAATCTGCTCTTCCTAGTCAAGGCTCCCCAGTAGCCACACACAGGTCCTAGTTCCCACTGTCATTTCTTTTGTGTTAAGGATTTGAACACTATACAGTTTGTCTTATGGAGGTGGACACTAGTGGTGACTCTAGTCCTGGGCTAAAGATGAAGGGCTGTAAATGAAAGCTTGGGGGCAAGTGATGTGGAGCCATGCCCTGAAGTTGAGGTAGAATTTAGGAGACAGTAACACTCTAAATAACAGGGAGTGTGCTGGACCATAGGGGAAACAAAGCTATCTCCACTACATATATAGCTGTGACTTCTGGCTCCCCAACCTTTCTCTAGCACCTGCTGCAGAGAGTCGTCAAAGTCTCCAGCATCCTCAACCTCATCTCTCAATCTTCTTCTTCCTCTGACTGGAATTTGGATCTCCTCTGCAAACACTCAAGTGGTAGCTAGAGTTTTGCTGTCACTCCACCTGCCAATGTTGGGTAGGTGGGCTCCTTGCTGCTCCGGACAACTATTCCTATTTAAAGTCCTCAACTCCTTTGAAATCATGCCATCAAACTAAACTTCCTGCTACCTGTCTTTCAGCCATCAAAAGTTCTCAGTCCCTAATGCTCATTCCTTGAAGCAAGTTTGCACCTCTGTCTCTTCCATCACTATTCCTGCCACTATTTTTATTAAGCACTCTAGCCTCCCAGTTACTTGATCTCATCATATTCAATGGGTTTTGTCCTTTGCTTTCTTGGTCACATTATGAACCTGGTCATTGTTATCTCTGTACCTGTGGAATGAGTCTCACTCTGTTGCTGTTGTTACCTCCTGTCTTTTTATTCACTCCTTCTAGTACACTGATTCTACCAATTCTTCAAATTCATTATCTCCCCTCTCCCCCAGCTTTGATTCAGCAGTGCATCATTACGGTCACTCCCTTAGCATATATATTCAACAAGGTTGCCTTTCTTGCTCTCTCTTTCCATTGTACTCATTTGGCAAAACCCCATCACTGGTGAAATCTAACTTTCTACCCTTTCTTTACCTGTACCAAGCTGGCGAATGTGGCTGGGAAGAAACATAATCATACAAATTAATCTCCCTTTAAATTTATTATATAAATTTGGAGTGGATCCCCGAGCAAACCTACCACTCTGCAACAATTCTCTTTCTTAGATGAAAACTTTACCCCTTTTCTTCCTTCCCATTTGGCTAATGACCTTACTATTTATTTTGCTAAAGAAAACACCTACATGATCCCATCACAAAATTCACAAACCTGCTTCATCTATATATGAAGACTGCTCTCCTTCCTTCGACAGATGAATTATCTATGCATCTTACCATCTATGGCCAATTCTGCAATGGACTCCATCCCCTCTGGCTTCCCTCAAGGGCTTTGCTCTTTCAGTGGTCTCTCTCTCTCTAATGGTCTTTCTCTCTAGTGGCTTATTCTTATCAGTAGAAAACATACTGTAATAACTTCCTTCAGCCAGAATCCCATTTCAGCTACCCTTCCATTTCTCTGTTCTTTGTCAGAGTAAACTTGTTGAAACAGTTGTTTGTCCTCATTACGTTCCCATCTTCCGTTTCTTGAACTCACCCCAATCAGACATTTATTCACACCACTCTACAACTATTCCTCTGCCATTCAGGCTACGGATAACCTCCACTTACTAAATCCGAGTTCTTAGTCTCCTGTTTTACTTAATTCAGCAAAGCGTTCGGCAGTCGGTGACTTCTTTTTCCTTAAGACATTTTCTTCTCTTGGCTTCCTAGTCACTCCTCTCATCTCACTGGCTAGTTTCCCCAAATCTCTCTTGCCAAGTCCTCTTCCTATTCTCAACTAGGTCATATTTTATAACCTCTTCTTTAATTATACTAATTGCCTAGAAGATCTCATCCAGTCCTGTGGCTTTAAATACCCTCTATCTACTTGTGAGTGTCAGATTTATATCTTGAAGCTAAATATATCCAGACTCACATTCAGCTGTCTACTTTCTGTGTCTGTTTGGATGTTTAATTGGCTTAACAGAGCCAAAACCAAACTCTCGATTTTCTCATCTAAATAAACTGGCAACTCTACTTTTCTAATTGCTCAGGACAAAAATTTTGGAGTAATCCTTGGATTACCTTTTACCTTGGAAATATATCAAAATCTGGCTACCTTCATTCCAACGTCCCTCCCACACACATGTCCTCCCCAGCACAACCAGAATGTTCATTAAAAAATGTCAGTGATGAAAATGATCTGGAATTAGATAGCGGTGGTTTGTGAGTAAACTAAGATCATTGAATTGTGCACTTTGAAAGGCTGATTATTATGATATGTAAATTACATCTCAAGGAAAAAATGTAAATCAAATCCTTCTGTGTAGAATTCCCCCACTTCTTTTTATCTAACCCCAAATAGCTTAAAATAGGGTTAGTTTATCCCCACCACTTGATCTTTGCTTTCATTACACTCTTCTTTCATTATATTCTTGCCTGGATTTTGCTTCTTTAAATCTTCTCTACTTCAAAGTCTGGTCTTCCTCTTTCAACAAAACCACCCTAAACAATTCCTCCTCCTTTGTTCCCTTGCATTTACACCATCGACCCAACACTTAAGTCCAAAACTTCCACACAGTCTTCTTGATTCCTCTCCCTGCACATTTAATCAGTACCAAGCAAACCTCATTGACTCTTCATCCTACCCATCCTTCCATCTGGACGCTACCATTACCAGACCAAATTGCCATCATCTCCTCTTATGTAAACTGTCCGTTTGGCAAACTGCAAAGTGAAACACACAGTAAAAACTAAAACTCACAATGTCATTTCCTGGTGTAAAACTTTAATGGCTTTCCATTGTACCCAGTCCACAGGCAAAACAGCTTACTCTACATTACCAGGGCCTAGGGATCAGCCCCTTGCCTCTATGTCCAGGCTCATCTTTCTGCCTTTGTGATTCATATTCAAGGTGTGAGCATCCTTAATACACCTCGTTTCTCTTGACTCCAGGCCTTTGAACACACTACTTTAAGAGCATGCATTTCCTGACTAGTTCATGGCAGTTAAGACTCAGCGTAAGGGTCACTTCCTTGGGAAAACCTTCCTCACCTGGCTGGACCAACTCTTGCAGAGATGTACACTCCATTCCTTGTTCATCATCTGACTTTTCTACCAGATGGTAAGCTTCATGAGAGCAGAATCGTTTGTTTACCTCTATAATATCCATTCCACATGAGTGCTCAGTCCATATCAATTAAATTGAATTCTAGCCTCTTCACATGCACCTTTGTCTTAAATCCGTGGCACTTACAGCCTGTGCCATTTTACTGACTGTATCGGCATGCATTGCCTTTCATTTTGCTGGATTATAAACAGGGGCTGACTTAAAAGCTCACAAAGGGAGTGTTCAATATACCTATGGGTGCCTGGGGTTCTGTACCTGGTAAGTCTCGATGGGGCGGTTTTCCATGTTGAGATCCCAGACTTTAACGGTCAGATAGTCCCTGGTCATGATATACCTTCCACTGTGGCTGAACTTCACATCCGAAATCGACGAGATAATTTCAGAGAAAAATGATCTGTTGCTTGGATCTTCAGGCTCTTCAAAAACTGCAGAACAAAAGCAAGACAAGACAAATGTAGCACATCTGTCTACATCATTATCAACTGACTCTAACATGTTTGGACTGGCTAGGAAGGTAACAATGTAACTGAGTCTTCTAAGCAGGACTGGTGCCTACAGAATCTAAGTTGCTAATAGAAAACTGTCAGCTTTCTGGCAGCAGAAAAAGCTGTCATTGGCTTCTGGATTTTCATTTTCATGGAAGGACTGGCATGGGACCTGTCCCATTCGTAGACATGGAACTGACAAATCTACGTATCAAACTCTGTTTCTGTTGGTATCTGGGTGTCACTGCACAAAACCTGGAGTCATCTTAGATGCTTAAATACTTTTACAGCTTTAGCGAGATACAATTCACATACCACAAGATGTACTTAAAGTGTAGAGTTCAGTGGTTTTTAGTATAATTGCATAATCACACAATCATCTCTATAATTAAATTTAGGATATTTTCTTTACCTCCCCCCAAAAACTCCATACCCATTAGCAGCTACTTTCCATTCCCTATTCCTATAGTCCTAGGTAGACACCAATCTACTTTCCGATTCTCATGGAAATTTCACATAAATGGAATCATAGAAGACATGGACATTTGGGACTGACTGGCTCCTTTCACTTGGCATACAATTTTCAAGGTTCATTCATGTTGTAGTATGTATCAGTTCTTCATTCTTCCTATGGCTGAATAGCAATAGTAATAGTATCCATTATATGAATATACCACATTTTGTTTATCCATTTATCAGCTGATGAGCATTTGAGTTGTTTCTACTTTTTAACTGCTAGGAATAATACTGCTATGATTATTCATGAACCAGTTTTTGTCTGGTCATATGTTTTCATTTCTCTTGCTGGCTTATGGTGTTAAATAGTGGGACTTTGGCCAGGTGTGGTGGCTCATGCCTGTATTCAGCACTTTGGGAGGCCTAGGCAGGAGGATCCCTTAAACCCAAGAGTCTGAGACCAGCCTTGGTAACATAGGGAGACCCTATCTCTATAAAAAATTAGCCAGGCATGGTGGGGCATGCCTGTGGTCCCAGCTACTTGGGAGGATAAGGCAAGAAGGATCACCTGAGCCAAGGAAGCTGCAATGAGCTATGACTGGGGCACTGTAGACCAACCTGGGCAAGGTTGAGATCCTGTCTTCAAAAAAGAAAGAAAAAAAAGTGGCACTTTCTTGTTGGACTGCCTTGGGTCTAAGGTCAGTCAGTTATTTACTTTTCGTGTGACCTTAGGCAAGATACTTCTCTGTGCTTTAGGTCTCCTTATATGTAAACTATAGCTACAATGTCTTTTTAAAATTCACAAAATTTCTAAATTTCTATAAATTTAATGGGTACAAGTGTGATTTTGTTACATGGCTATACTGCACAGTGGTGAGGTCTGGGCTCCTAGCGTAACCGTTAGCCGCATGGTGTACATTGATCCCGCAAAGTATTTTGTGTGGATTTTCTATTTGCACTGATATCCAGGCTCTTCTTATCTCTCTCAATAGCTTCCGCTGATTTCCATTTACAGGAAAAAGGCATGGCTTCTCAGTATGTTATTGGGGCCCATCATAAATCGCCTCTAATTCTTCTTTCTACCTTGATTTTCAGTTGGATGTAAAGAGTATATTTTGATGTTTCCCACTTCTATGTATTGCCTGATTCATTCTTCACTGATCCAAATACTCTTTGATTCATATACCTCATCTACTACATATTGTTTAACACCAAATGATCTATTCTTTTCTCTGAAGTCCTGTCATTCTTGGTCTGGCCATTTATTTAGTATTTGCTCAGGTACTCTCTTACAACGAAGCTACCATTTTCCACATTATTATTGTTATCTGAACAATTCATGAGTTTATTTTATTTTATTTTTTTTTTGGGACGGAGTCTCGCTCTTGTTACCCAGGCTGGAGTGCAATGGCGTGATCTCGGCTCACCGCAACCTCCGCCTCCTGGGTTTAGGCAATTCTCCTGCCTCAGCATCCTGAGTAGCTGGGATTACAGGCACACGCCACCATGCCCAGCTAATTTTTTGTACTTTTAGTAGAGACGGGGTTTCACCATGTTGACCAGGATGGTCTCGATCTCTTGACCTCGTGATCCACCCGCCTCGGCCTCCCAAAGTGCTGGGATTACAGGCTTGAGCCACCGCGCCCGGCCATGAGTTTATTTTATCTCTTCAACTAGGACATAAGCTTCTTGAGGACAGGATTTTGCTTTTACTTATCTTCATACTCAGAGTCTTACTCACGAATGTTCAATGAATATTTGTTGCTTCACTGGAGCCAAAGCCAGATAAGTTAACAGATTCTTTGCCTCTAGGTGCCTTGCATGTATAGTATTAAGTTGAAACATACGCATTTGCTGACATTCAATCATTTTTTACCTACAAAGATGGTGACTCTGTATGGCTAAACCAAACATTGGCCTGCAGGTTGCTGAGTTAACTCATCCTCCAAGACTACTTCTTTCCTGCCTGCTCAATGCACTCACAAAGTCAATAATCAATTCTATATAAAGAGCCCAAGTATATAATAAGTTACGTTTCAAATCTTGCTGAATTAAGCCATGAACTAAACCAAAATCTTAATATTTTCACAGAACCATTGAAGAGATAGCAACAAAAACCCTGATCAACCAATCAGAATTGAAACTGCAAATTAAAAAAAAATCATTGAAACGGAAAAACATGGCTCATTACAGCCTCTGAACCAGTGTCTTAGTCTATGCCCTCATCTTTCGGGCTTCAGCTGGGCATGAGTGAAGGCCCCGGGATTCTGACTGGTATCTTCATAGTTGAGAACTAGATGGGAGGAAAATTTTCACATTAGTTTCAACTAACAGCCATCTCATCAGTACTGGGGGCTTGGAAATTCCAAGTAAAACACCTGACCCAGAGGCAGTAAAGTGGACGGGCTTAGAAAATTGTGCTCTGCAGTCATCGATTCCTGCCTCTGCCAGCTATTAGCTGTAAACATTTTATTTACTACTCCAGCTTTAGTTTTCCCATCTGCAAAATGAGGAGCTACGCTGTTGGCATGTAAGCTTAGTACACAGTAGGTCCTCAAAACATGCCAGTCACTATTTTCATTATCAGCATGCACTGCTTCAGTGCTGACCAGTCACATCTCATCTATTAAGACTCTTGAGAATTTGGGACCGAAGAGTACAGAGCATGCAGACTAAAAGACATAAAGAATGTTTGCATTTTCTTTTTTTTAAACTCGTCTATTTAAAATGTTTAAATCGACAACAAAATAATTGTATATATTTATGGCGCCTTTCAATATTATATGTAGGAATCTGTTTCCCAAATATCTGGCACATTGGGAGGCCAGTGTAGTAACACTGTAAAGCCTCAAAATGACACTTTCACAAGACAGATGTGAAATGAAAGATGACTTCTTTAATTGACCTACCACCATTTGTTTGTGGAGTGCCAGCTTTAGGCAGCATACAGAGGGCAAAGTACAGATTACATATTGGCATAGCGCTTTGTAGTTCATGACATATCTATGCATATTCAAGGTTTAATAGCAGCTCCAGGAATTATTTTCATTCCTTTGGTAAAAGCATTTACTGGTATTAATAATTACTGTTGATGGAAAGCTTATAATACCGCAGACCCTGTGCTTTACATGTTTTATTTCATTTAGTTGTGAAAACAGCCTATGAAGTAGGAATTCTGATTCCTTCTTTTTTTTTTTTTCCCATTTATTTATTTTATTGCATTTTAGGTTTTGGGGTACATGTGAAGAACATGCAAAATTGTTGCATAGGAACACACGTGGCAGTGTGATTTGCTGCCTTCCTCCCCATCACCTACATCTGGCATTTCTCCCCTTGCTATCTCTCCCCAGCTTCCCACCCCCCACCGTCCCTCCCCTATTTCCCCCCAACTGACCCCAGTGTGTAGTGCTCCCCTCCCTGTGTCCATGTGTTCTCATTGTTCAACACCCACCTATGAGTGAGAACATGCGGTGTTTGATCTTCTGCTCTTCTGTCAGTTTGCTGAGAATGATGGTTTCCAGGTTCATCCATGTCCCTACAAAGGACCCAAACTCATCGTTTTTGATGGCTGCATAATATTCCATGGTGTATATGTGCCACATTTTCCCTATCCAGTCTATCGTCGAAGGGCATTTGGGTTGGTTCCAGGTCTTTGCTATTGTAAACAGTGCTGCAATGAACATTCGTGTACACGTGTCCTTATAGTAGAACGATTTGTAATCCTTTGGATATATACCCAGTAATGGG